AAAAAAAAAAAAAAAAAAAAAAAAAAAAAGAAGAAGAAGAAGAAATAGATAAAGAAAAATATACCAGAGAGACCAGGCATGGTGGCTCACACCTATAATCCTAGCGCTTTGGAAGTCTGAGATAGGAGGATTGCTTGAGGTCAGGAGTTTAACATCAGCTTGGGAAACATACTGAGACCCTGTCTCTTAAAAAATATACATATTAGCTAGGTGCGGTGGTGTGCATCTGCAGTCTCAGATACTCAGGAGGCCAAGGAGGGAGGATCACTTGAGCCCAGGAGTTTGAGGCTGCAGTGAACTATGATCACAGTCATGCCAATACACTCCAGCCTGGGCAATAGAGGCCCCTATGTGGAAAAAGGCACCCTTTGCTGCATCTCTCTCTCTCTTTTTCAGAGATGGGGGCTCATTGTGTTGACCAGGTTGGTCTCAAACACTGGGTCTCAAACAGTTCTCCCACCTTGGCCTCCCAAAGTGCTCTTGTTATAGGCGTGAGTCACCGTGCCCAGCCTGTGTCTCTTTTTGTGTTAGTTAAATGATAGAGGAGAATGACCCAAAAAATCTAGAAGATTCTTCTTCTGCAGTCTGAGGGCTACAGTTTACAATCAAGCCAGGCAGGCATGTAGGCTATCTACCCTTCATTCCAAATTGTGAGGACCTGGATTGGTTAGAAATTTGGAAAACAGGCCAGAAACGGTGGCTCACACGTGTAATCCCAGAACTTTGGGAAACTGAGGCGGGTGGATTACCTGAGGTCAGGAGTTTGAGACCAGTCTGGCCAACATGATGAAACCCCGTCTCTACCAAAAACACAAAAATTAGCCAAGTATGGTGGTGGGTGCCTGTAATCCCAGCTACTCTGGTGGCTGAGGAAGGAGAATAACTTGAACCCAGGAGGTGGAGGTTGCAGTGAGCTGAGATCGTGCCACTGCACTCCAGCCTGGGCAACAAGAGTGAAAACTCTGTCTCAAAATAAATAAATAAATAAAATAAAAAAAGAAAAGAGATTTGGAAAACAGAATTGGCTGGAAACTGGAATTCACAGTAATTACCCCCAGGATGCAGAGGGCTCAGGGAATGGGTGGGTAGGGGCAGTACTGGGTGTCTGGTTCTCATTGAGTGCTCATCAGAAGCACCTCCTTGGTTCCAACTTTCAGATTTATACTTTAAAAATGCCCGGAATGTCCATGGAGTAGAAGAAATACGGTTGCAGCTTTGCTTGAATTGAGGATCCTTCC